TTATAAATCGCCGGGGTGTACCGAAGATGATGTTCAGCGACAGAGGGACTAATTTTGTTGGCTGTCACGCCGAGCTTAAAGAGTACTTCGAAGGTCCCCAAACGAGAGTTCAGAAAGAGTTACTGAAAAGGAACATCGCGTGGCACTTCAACCCACCACATGCCAGCCATAGAGGTGGGCTATGGGAAAGACTTATAGGAATTATCAAGCGTATTTTAAGCTCCATAATTAAAAGCCAGAGTTTGAATGACGAAACGCTGGAGACATTTTTTTGTGAAGCTGAACGAATATTAAATGACCGGCCGTTATCACCTGTGAGGAACGACGTCAAGGATTTTGATGTGTTAACCCCAAATAAATTATTTTTATTGAGAGGCAACCCTGGCATAGAGGACGCAAGCGGGGAAGGAATACCTACGATTAAAAGATGGAAACAAGCCAGGCACATGAAAGATATATTTTGGAAAAGATGGTTAAAGGAGTATGTTCTAACATTGCAGACCAGGGTCAAGTGGAAAAAGTTGTGCCGAAACTTAAAGGTTGGTGACATAGTATTAGTAGCAGATAAATGTGCCACAGGTAGGTGGCCTTTGGGAGTGGTAGTAAGGCTGATCTGTAGTGGTGATGGATTGGTGAGGACGGTTGAGGTGAGAACTAGTTGTGGCATGTTGGTGCGAGATATCAGAAAACTGTGTCTCCTGGAAGGTGCTGAGAGTAGAGAGTCGAAGGACGAAACAATAGATGATTTTCCAACCTAGAGCGTCAACCTGAGAAGGGTTGTAGGCGTACTGCTGTAAGTCCTACAATTGTTCAAAGGGTAGCGCATCAATGAGCAGTCCAATGTGCTTGATGTGTGATTTTGTACATATGTTCATATTGTATATACTGAATTGATATCACCTGTCATCTAGCTGTTGGTAATTCTGTTTGTGTCCGGACATTCCACAAATTACAATCGTCAACCTGAGAAGGGTTGTAGGCGTACTGGTGTAAGTCCTGCAATTCTTCAAAGGAATTCCACCAAGACATGATCGACGAGGTTGTTTGTACTATTTGTATATACGTGTGGTGTGTCATATGAATTGGTGGTTTTTGGATTCATTGTGTTTACTCGTTGTTTTCGTGTCTTGTTATTGCGTAATTTTGTTAAAATTTTCGTCGTGATTACTTCTGAAGTTGTTTAGTGTCTTCTACATCCATGAATGAATTGATTGATGTTAAAGACAGCAGATGGGTCGTATACGCCGGGGAGGCTATTGCTGAGAATGAAATGCACACGGAGATAATTGTTAGCTGCGGTCCGACACGCCGGGGAGAAAGAGTGTAAACGACTGAGGCTCGCATGCGTCACCGCTACTAGAACTGAGGCAGAATGAGTGACAAGCGATTTCAGTGGTATTTGGTAGTGAGTAGATAAGAGGATGTGCGTAGAGTATCATGAGGTGGTGCTATGGTCACGTTGCATTCTGCAGGAGTCATTCTAGTAAATGGCGATTGTGTTGCAAGATGTCAAGAGGAGGTCTCTGTCTGGAGGCACAGGTCGTCATTGATGTGTGAGATCGTGCTGTGGGTATGCTTGTGGTGTGTTGGCTTTTCTGTTTGTTTTCCATTTCAGCTCTGTCCGTGTGACCCAGGTTCTCGCAATGGCATCCAAGTCAACGTGCATTGGTCGTGAAGGAAAAAAGGGTTGGATCCCTTTTCTGCCGGGGAGCGTCAATGGAGTTGAAGATTGAACGATCAATTCTTGGTTGTTTGCTCAAAATCAACTTCCCCAATTTTCGCGGCGGCATCAATACGACAGTCATCGTCTCATCGGTCGCTGTTCAGAAAGAAGAGTGAAACATCGTCAGAAGTAATACAAAGATTTATTATTGTAATATTTGTTTTCAGACCTTAGTTCGCTTATTCCTTTTATATGTTGGTGTAACAATAAAGAAATATCAAGCGGCAGATCGGTGTTTTGGTTTTTTCGTCCGTTATAACTAAGCGTTTCTGAAATCTTCAAGGAACAGCGTGGGCCCGAGCGTAGCGAGAGCTGGGCATTAACGGTTTATGAGACGTGATTGACACCTACACTTCTTCAAGGGTAGTTTGTCATGCCGGAATCCACAACATTTGATGTAATTATTTTACATATATTTGTGTTAAATAGTTGTGTGAGTTCCAATTATTGTAATTGTTGGTTAATCTTGTTTGTGTCCGGACATTCCACAACCCGTTGATTTTAGACTTAGGCGGTCATTTACGCGGATTTTGTTATCTTTTTGTCCACCCGGATTTGTGTCTATTGTCTTGTTGACATGATAGTTGACGTTTTGCCTTCATGTCTTCAGTTTCAGCGTCCTGCTAATCTGATCTGTGCTAGTGTACCCAAGTATTATTGCCGCCACTTATTGTTAGCTTTGAGGGGGTATCAAGTTTTCATCTGTGTTAATTATTGGTGAGCAAGTAAAAGATTATTTAAGCGTACCACATTGTTGATTCCTGTTAACTGGCGTATATCGCCAGCATTGCAGTGTTTATAAAAACATTATTGTAATTATTTATTCGGAACCTAGTGACCTATAGTCTACCACTAAAGCAAATGCGGCAGTCCTGAGTAACGTTTCAGAACCGCCGTAGTTATGTAAAAACCTAAATGATTCAAGAGAATTAGTATTTCTTGAGAGCTGAAGGGTTAGTTGTCTGTCGGAGAGGTTTGAAAACAGAATTAGGAAACTGCAAATAAGACGTAGCAAACAATAAATACGAATGCAAATCCGAAAGCATAACAGGCGACGATTCTATATGACCTTCACATATGATAATTTCTAGTTCTTGAACAGAAACAAATCACTTTCACGGGACAGAACTAGTGCACATTACGAATAACTGATAGGAAATCTGACATGGATTCCTAGTACAAATTAGAGCGAATACAGGAGTACTAATAACCAGATAAGTGATCGATGCAACTGGTTTTCAGTCGAATGTGTTTGACGTCGATCAGTTGAGCAAGAGTACAATTCACTTTAGATTTTCAAGCCGTAGCCGCTAGAAAACTGGTGAGGGTTTGATATGACCAGCACCGAAAGTGAAACGTAAACGCCCGATCATTTATGATCATTATCAATTTGTGAGGTATAAAGCTTTGAGAAATCCTGACAAATGTAAAGTCAGTGGTAGGTAAGCTTAGGGACTCAACATTGAAGGGGATAATGGAAATGCAGGGACTAACGAATAAATAATCTTCAGAAATAATAGAAGAGATTCTAAACTCAGAGAATGTTTTTCCTGTCGCTGCGTTCCATGAGTCCCACGGGATATCTCCTAATTTCCACCGGCATAATATATACGGCTTTGGGAGAAGAAGTTACAAACCTATCATGGCGAAAACATCTCTGATGTAGCACTTATTGTTTGGTAATTTTAAACCCCCGACTTTAGACCACTGCTTTTGGTTAGGGCAATGCATGAAAATTTAATACATCCAGAGTATCGAAAACTGGACGCGGATTCATTGAATATCCTTCCAGTAACCTTTTTTTAGGCATAGGATACTGGATTTCATAAAGTAACATGCAACATAAAGTGACGCTCCATGTTATCAGTAAGGAATGAAAATTTTGTAGACAAGGTAATAGCGGCGTCCGTAGCAGAAGGTGCATGTACTCCTTGGCCTCTTAAAGTGTAGATGAGGGGATAGGTTTTGGAAGACCTCGAATGACCCTGAGCCTGTTTCCGCTTGAAGGCTTGAAGTTTCGGTAGCAGTGTTTATTTTTACAGGATAGGGTTACCAGCCTCTTGTCCGACTTCTCTTCTTTACCAGCTGTTTTTTATTACTGGCTTAGTGAGTTAAAGGAGAGCGTCGGTGGCCGGGGTTTGAGCCACAGGCCATATGTATGGTCGGCGAGAGTCCTACCGCTGTACCACCGACGAACAAAAGTAAATTTCAGGCAAATAAGTGTTATGGACTTTTTAAATGAGCTGAGTACTCTTAGGACGGCGTTGACCTAGACAAATTACAGAGAGAAAATGTAACGTAGTCTGGTCACATTAGTACCAAATAAAATGAAGAGCCATTTAGCATGATCACCATATTGTAATCTTATCCGATAGAATTTGTTCCGTAGTAATGCCATGGACTAGGAGCATAGGATCATTTGTTACCTAGAGTCCGAAAAATTTATCCTTTGCGGTCATATAGCAGATCAGTTGTAGCCCGAGTAGCGCTGGGCAAAACGAGTTCGTAGGTTATCCTATATTACTATGTTTAGTCACAGAATGCACGTAATATAAAGAAACTAAGTTGAAAATCTCTAAATGACCAAGGCAGAGGTAGTTCAAGCAACGTCGGTGGCACAGCAGTTAGGATGTTCATCGACCATGAACATATTATCGGGTTCGTCCCCGGCTGAGGCACACCTGGTATCAATGGTCGCCTGCTTAATTTGAGCTACTGATATCATATACTGAAAGCCCCATATTTTTGCCAAGATAATATGTGGAATCAAGCAATATGGTCGGCCTGCAAAATTTGGGCTACCGATATCCATGCTGAAAATTCCATTCTTGTACCGCAAATATAGTGTGGAATCAAGCTGTAAATCAAAAATCAAAAATAAAATAAACCTATTTTTGGTCCTGAACTAGTGAAGGTATTTTATTTGAAATCATTTCGTTCTTTTTCGCTCGTTGGTCGATGAAAGAAATTATGAGAGGCTTCGTCAAGAGACCAGATTTTTTCCTAAATAGATTGCATTGTCATACTTTGGTTTGGTCACCATGATTGTTTTAATTTACTATTTTTTGTAAAACTAGCAAACGGCGTTAATTTCTCTCAAGGTCAGCAGCGGGTGTTGTGACTGCTATATTGTGTAGCTGTTTTGCATTTTCATAGTGATTCTTCATTTTTGCTCTTCTGATTTAAATGATCGGCTTTTAAATACTTTTATTCGGAGGGATGTCAGGTTATTATGGTGATTTTCTTGACTAATGCCTCGGAGCACTTCATGTGAGATATGAAAAGTGCTAGACAGTTTTCTTGTGATGGATTACCAGCTGGATGTGCATCAAAATCGTATATAAGCTCCTCCGGAATCAAAACTGTTACTGATTCTTCATCTTCTAGCAGCCTGAACAGCAAGATCACAGACGGGTCTTCTGAGGTATGTCGTTTTATTTGGTAAATATTATCGTAAAGAATATATTCTATGGTCCTGCATATTGCACAACACTTCATTGGTGGTGGAGGTCCAAGTTCCAGCGGTTGGAAGATTTTATTTATACTCACCACTGGAAGATACTCAGTTGTGTCGTGGTGCTCGGACTATTTTGCTTTGGTTTGAAGGCTGTTACGGTAGAAACAGATTTTGATAAATTATGGATAGAAGGTAAACAGTTTGTTCATATTTTGCATATAATAGCTATGCGAATGTATTAAGCGATATTTACTACTTATTATTTTTCGCTTTTTATGTGGGTTCTTATGAAGCTAGAGGTATTAGTTATGACACGCGATAGATGACATTTGCGACAAAATGCATTCTGGGGTTCGAGATGTGTTAAAACCTATCTGAGTAAAGGTGGTGTATAGTTCTCCTAACCCAAAACTATAAAAGTGTTGAAAGTGCTTGCTTATTTTGATACTAAAGAGTCAAGTACTCACATGACTCTTTTAAGCGGTTTTCGTTGTTACGGTTCACTAAAACTTCACTGCAAACACCATCTGTACTAAGCTTTTGACTTAATGCCATAAAAGCTTTTCGTAGATGGTCAGCAGCTCCGTACCTCACAAGGAGCAAACTTAATAATTATTATCAAACAGCAAAGCCACATTAAGTACCCAGCTTATAAAACTCCCTGTTAATTTTAAAGGTGGGGTGACTAAGGTTGCCGAAATGCATTAACGGCTTTCGGGATTATGTGACAGACAAGCTTTAGGCTTGTCTTATTTGCCTATTCTCTTTTGAAACAGTTAAAATGTTTATCTTTTCGAATGAGTAGTGGTTGTTTGATAGACTACATTTCCGATGATACATCAAAGATCTAATATAGTTCGTCCTGAATCCGATAGTGGCGCTGTGATGTAGTCCAACCATGAGTGGTCGTTTTTACAGTTTTTTGATGTATTCACTTGTTCTGTATGTGGAATTTTTCAAATCCATTTTGATTGTATTTTGTATGTTGGTGTATTATTCAATTTAATAGTTCAAGATCTTACCTTATATGACTTGGTTACTGTGCTGCACTTTCCTCGTAAATTCTACTATTGGCCTTGACAAACTCCTACGTCAATAGATTTGCGAGAATGCTCGTGAACTGATTTCTTCCTCACTGTTACTGCTATTTTATTTTGGGTAATTTGTGTCTAAACACCAATATTGTTATTAACTACCAATCTTGAATATTTTGTATATAAACATATATATATAACTGTAGAGCCAGAAGAGGAATTTATCGAAAAGAATATTCTTTGCTGGATTATTTTGTGTTTTATGGATGTCTGAATGAATATTTTTGCTGTACTGTATGTGTCTAAGTAATTGAAATAATGCCCGCAATCTTTTGCTGTTGAATTGTCCAGGCATTCTAAGTGGCTTACGAATGGTATATCAGTGTTTGTTAGTGAATCTAAGATAAACTTCAACAACGTTGTGTTATAGTCTCTGTTTGGGAAGTAGTCGTTATACCCAGGGAACATGATTTCGAAATCCTTTTTCCATTACCTCGATTAAGAACTGTTGCAACTGAATTTTGTGCTAATTAAGATGATCAACTAGCTCATCGAATCTGCAGAGATTGCAGCAGTAGTGTCACTAACCAAATCGTCGTATTTCTGTGTTGCTTTGATATAGCGGGGAAGTTTCTTCTTCTTATTATTATCAAATTAAGACAACTGATCCTCTATGCCACCAATAATTGCTCCAGTGTATGAAGGGGTTAGTATACTTGGCAGCTAGAGATTTCGGGATACATGGATTAAGAAAACAAATTTTCATCTAAACTTTGTATGGAACCATAAGCTATTTGATCACGGGCTAAAGACCCGGTATTATGGCATGGAATAAATTACGCAGATGAATTACACCTTTGCAAACTTCGAAAGACTGATTATTTTTATTGAACTTCATATCATTTTGTATATTCATACGCCTCTTTTCCTCTTATTTCTGAAGTGAGCTTTTTGTGCTCCCGGAAGTGTCATACTTTAAACTGGTTTATTCCCATGTAGAATTTTGTGTTGGCTGTTTTTATGTCATTAGACACGCTGACAGTATAAAGTCAGAACTGTAATAAAACACACCTACATGGAGTGTGGCGACTGGAACTGTCGCACATCAGTGCAAAGTTCAATGTCGAAAACAGACAGACAGACAGTAGTTCACTACTTAGTCTTCTGGTAGCTTGGAGCCTCCTCTTTATCTTTTTTCTCAGTCATTTTTATCTTTCATATCCGTGAGAGTGCTTTGACAAAATAATGATATTATCAACCGACATAATAAATAAAAAGCGATTTCAACGTCTGTTGGAATTAATGTGAAGAATGGTTTGGAACTAGTAGAAGTTTGATAAGCCTAATCTGCTGTACGGGATTTAACCATAATGGTACATTCTTGTCCTTTGATGCAGTCGGAGTAGGTTGGAAGAAGAGTAGGGATAGTGAAGTCAAAACATGGCATTAATCCATGCGGAATTTGACTGTCGATTGAATTCTGAGAATGTTGGCACTATGCCTTGAAGTCCTTCTCATTGGCGGAGATATACTCAGTACTTATGAACTCCAGCATCCACTAAATCCTTACTATTCTTCATTTAATTATCTTGCATAAATTCACGTTTATTTTACATTCTTTGCGTTCATTTTTCTCTACCTTTATATGTTCTTATGAAGTGTGAAAACGTAAACTGCTACGCTTTTGCGCAAATTTGTGTGTTAAAAATGCACAGTAGTAGTAAGTTGAATCATAACTACGTAAATACCTAAGCGTCTACGCGGTGTGTGCCTTCAGGTAACATGAGATTCGTCATCATGATAGCAGGCACACCATAAATAATATAGTCTAAATAAAAATTACTTGGTTATCGTAAATACAGTCGGATATTAACGTTTCTCGTTTATTATTTATCACGAGTACATCTCTGCCCCCCCTCCCCCCTCAGTGATTTGGATTTCTGATATTTAGGTTGTTTTGACTAGTAAGTAGTACTAGTAGACTTAGCACAATAGGTTTGGTTTGTACCTTGGTAATTAAACCCACAGAATAGTTATTAAGTTATGATTTTGGAGCTTCATCTCAATAAGTTAGATCAGTAGCCAATAGTTAACTTTATTCTCATTTGATCATTTAGGATTTTGTCTGAGTTCGTTACTTCAGTCAGTATCATCTTTTGGAAGACTTATATTCATGGAAGGTAGGACTGTGAATTTACGGTTTGTGTATATTGCCCATGTCGTCTTCGTGTAAAATTTCAAATTTTATGTTGACGCCGCTTTCCATGGGCTTCAGGATTTGAATATGTAAAGCAGTTAACTTGTATCTCTTACCCAGCTTTTAATCCCTGTTACTATCGAGAGCTGTTTGCATGAGTGAAGTCTTTATTTGAAGATGTTGAATGGTTGAAAACAATATGTTGTCGGTGTATTACAGTACACATTTTGTAGACTATCTGTTGGATTACAGGACCATCCAATACTACTATAATGATATATTATTTAGTTAATAACCACACTTCACACTTCTCGTAACGTTACTGACAAGGAAATATTCTAGTTAAAATATACCATTTACACAATTTCTTATTAATATTTCTATCCTTGATTCGACTGAATAGTAAATTATATTCGAAATTCTATCTGGTAAATCATACAACCTTTTGTGCTGTATGTCTAAAAATCACACAATTATATGCTACTACCATCTTCAAAAACGTGGCCATAATTCATGCAGTCTTTGACTCTTGTCCTTTATCAATGTAAGGATGTACAGGTTACGTGGTGGACTAATGAAAACTGCAGGTGTGACGCATTCACATTGCATTAGGACCTAATAATTGTTTATCGTTTGAATAAACTTACATCCAAATTGGCTGAGGTGGTAGACTAGGCTTGTGCATCTTTGGTTGGGGAATAGTTGACTCTGTCAGTCTCAGACGTTCAAAAAGGTCTTTACATGTCAGGCAGTCATTTTGAGTTCTTCTGAGAACACTTGTCAGTTGCTCTTCGATCAGTACGGCTTAGAAAATTTGCTACTATCAAAAATCAGGGTTAACATCCCCACTCGTAAAATTCTGTTAGTTTGCGTATATTCGAGCTCCAAAAACATTTAAACTCATTCATCATTAAATTTCTATCTCTTGTCACATGTTTTTGCATTGCTGTACCACTTAAATTCTGTTCTCTTCCTTTTTGTGTATTGTATTGTTTACAAGCGTGTGAATCGAAATGTTGTGCTTCTGTGTAGAGTTAACTTGTCAGTTGATCAGTGGTTACGACTAAAATGACAAAATTCTACTTCTGGTTCTTTTAGGGTCGGAAGGCAGTGTCAAAATATGATCTAGAATCACAATACAATGAATAATATTACTACAATTCATATCTACCCATTGAATAAGAGATAAAAATAACTGGCTTTCAAGCGCATAGCTTTGCACATAAGTGTGTCAATTGTGGGAAACTGAAACAAAAGAAAATCAAAGAAAAACTAATGTTACCGAAAGCTGTAGAGAGCTTTAAAATTGAGGGTTAAAAGTCATATTGGGAAGGAGGATATCGTACTCTAGGAAAAACAAAGCACGTATCTGAGCCATTCGAATCTTTTTTGCATCATATCATCTAAAGTCTTTAAATATGAGTTTTGTTCAGTCCTCATTGATTGACTAACGTCCATTAACTTAACGTTACATTTGATGTTTATATTGCTGAATATTTTGTGTTGTATGATGGGAGCAGTTAGACGAGGACACCTGTTGTTACGAACGTGTAGTTTGTATTTATCTGCTTTCATCGGTTGTGATTTATCAGTAAATTAGGAAGGAACAAACTGCTACATAGTTAGTGCACATACCCTTTGATGGATAGAGATGTATGTTGTCGGTGCCACAGATGATGCCACATCGAAAAGTTCTAAATAGACCCACCGTATTTGTGTTGAGATTTCGTCATAATCGGACTCATTGCAGCCGATACGTTATAGTGCATTAAAATACTTTGCTATTATAACCTTGGTAATAATTTTATTACATAATATATATCTATGTATATATATATATATATCGTTCAAATGATATGATTATGATGAGCGAATTTTGCTGAAAACGTTACCAGTATATAAATAATACTGAATCACCGTGTTTTATTATACCTAACCACTGCCGTATTATTAAATGGTTA